TTACTTGAATCAAATATTTCTTATTTGAATTAAATAAATGGTATTTGTTTCAAATACTGAAATATTTCATTCAAATATTATATATTTAATTCAAATTAGAAATATTTGATTCAAGTAAATATTTATTTCATAATAACCAAATACACCGGTATTTGAATCAAATAAATTTTTTTTTCAGTGTAGAATTTATATTGAGTTGTTTACTTAACCTAAAAAATGTTAATTTAAAAAAACAAATAAAACAATTTAGAAAAGAATTTTGACTATATTTTATAAATAAACGAAATTTAATAGGTATAATAGCCCCAACCATGGGGGTAATATACAAACAACTTTAAGTTTCTGTAATTCCGGCCAAAAAAAATTTACTTTTTCGCCCAACTTATGGGAATACTTCAAGAAGGACGTCTACAATGTAATATAGTTAAATATTTTTTTTTATTCTAAATTTCAATGGCACGTTAAAAAAAAAATTTCCTTTTTATGAGTAAAATTACCCCGATTGACTAAACTTTTTCCATCACGGTGAGCTTCGTTTAGGTTCAACCTAAACTGCATGACCCTTCTCAGGTTTTTTTTTATATCAATTCGGTGATGCCTCACGATCATTTTAAGACGAAAATTAAAATAATCGTTGGAGGGAAACACAAATTATATTGATTTTTAAATTTTTTTTCTAGGTTATTGAAAATATTTTCATTAAAATACCGTTTGGTAAAATACTTATTGCTTCAAATGCTACAATTTAACATAAAAATAGATTATATATAATAATTAAACCATTTTGATACATAGAATTAAGAAAATGTTTAAAAATAGTCGAAAAAACTGAAATTTTTCTAATTTTTTAAACTTTACTCCTTTATTTAACGTTATTTCAATAAAGTCATGTAGAAGTGAATTAAAGTACATAAAATTTCCTGTAAATCAAAAAAAAAACTCTTCTATCTATTACTGTTACAAAAATATGGTCATTTGAATTTTAAATTTAATGGATAAATAGTTAAAATTTAACATTAGGTCTAGATTATGTGGTAAAATTGTTTTCGCAGAACCTCATCTCAATTCCATAATATAATACGTATAAGAAGGTTTAATCTTGAACAGTTTCAAATTGAAGAAACTGATTTATCTCACTTACATCGAAAGTTACATTGGTTTAAAGAATGTCTATTTCTATAAGAGAGATTTGAGTAGTTTTTAAAAATCCGTTTATTTTGAAATATTTGTACCTTACCATTTACTTTTTAAAAAAGTAAATATTTTAAATATGATTATGTTGCATTTTTCAAAATAAACGGATTTTTAAAAACTACTCAAATCTCTCTTATAGAAATAGACATTCTTTAAACCAATGTAACTTTCGATGTAAGTGAGATAAATCAGTTTCTTCAATTTGAAACTGTTCAAGATTAAACCTTCTTATACGTATTATATTATGGAATTGAGATGAGGTTCTGCGAAAACAATTTTACCAAATAATCTAGACCTAATGTTAAATTTTAACTATTTATCCATTAAATTTAAAATTCAAATGACCATATTTTTGTAACAGTAATAGATAGAAGAGTTTTTTTTTTGATTTACAGGAAATTTTATGTACTTTAATTCACTTCTACATGACTTTATTGAAATAACGTTAAATAAAGGAGTAAAGTTTAAAAAATTAGAAAAATTTCAGTTTTTTCGACTATTTTTAAACATTTTCTTAATTCTATGTATCAAAATGGTTTAATTATTATATATAATCTATTTTTATGTTAATTTGTAGCTTTTGAAGCAATAAGTATTTTACCAAACGGTATTTTAATGAAAATATCTTTAATAACCTAGAAAAAAAATTTAAAAATCAATATAATTTGAGTTTCCCTCCAACGATTATTTTAATTTTCGTCTTAAACTGATCGTGAGGCATCACCGAACTGATATAAAAAAAAACCTGAGAAGGGTCATGCAGTTTAGGTTGAAACTAAACGAAGCTCACCGTGCCATATATAAGAAACATAAAAATAAAATCCTGAGGTACAATAATTTTAATTAAATTTTCAACAATCATTTTCTCTTTTTATGTTTATCAAAAAATAAAAGTAAATTTCTCCAGGTACATTTATAAAAATTCAATTTATTTATACATAACTGATGTATAAGTAAATTTAAACTAATTAGAGTGAATTAATTAGTAAAGAGACATTTCCCATGTAAATATTTAAGTGAAGTAAACTATCTAAATAAAGTAAATTATTTAAATAAGAACAAACTTTATAATTCACTGAACAAAATTTATTCCTTAAAGAATATATATTCATCTGAGATGCATAAATATTCCCTACACACTAGACTTGTAGAAATTTTTTTATGGTGTCAAATTAAAAATTGTGGAATTATTATTTCGCAGAATTTTCTAAACTAAATTTTATAATGAGCGTAATTTATCATATCGAAAAATTTCTATTTTACTAAAATCATTTAACCCCTTTGCAGTCTAGTAGAAAAATCGTTTGTGCGGGCCCAAAACGTGCGGGCTCAAAAAAAAGTTTTCAAAAAACATTACACTGAAAAAAAAATTTATTTGATTCAAATACTCCATTATTTGACTATTATCAAATAAATATTTATTTGTATCAAATAATTATTATTTGAGTCAATTGTTTCAAATACAGAAATTATTGGTTCAAATACAATTTATTTAATTCAAATAAAAATTATTTGGTTCAAATAAATATTTATTTGATAATACTCAAGTAATCGAGTATTTGAATCAAATACATTTTTTTTCAGTGTATATTATCGTATTATTAAAAGTTTTTTGGGGTCGCTAAATCCAAATTTAAGGTCAAATTAAAAAAATTCAAAATGGCGGACCCAATATGGCGGAAAAAATTTAAAGTTGATTCGATTCATTCAAAATTTGGTACTCGGGGGTTTTTGGAGTCGCTGAATCCAAATTTGAGGTCAGATTTAAAAATTTAAAATGGTGGACCCAATATGGCGGAAAAAATTTAAAATTGAGTCGATTCGTTCAAAATTCGGTGCTCGGGAGTTCTCTGTGTCGTTGAATTTAAATTTGAGGTCAGATTTAAAAAATTCAAAATGGCGGAAAAATTTTTAATCGATTCGTTTCATTCATAGACTCCAAAAACCCCTGAGTTACGAATTTTGAACGAATCCAATCAATTTCAAATTTTTCCGCCATATTGGGTCCGCCATTTTGAATTTTTTAAATGTGACATCAAATTCGAATTCAAGAACACAATTCAGTAAAAAATTTGTTTTTTTGAAATTTTTTTTTTGGTTTCTTTTTTGCTCGGAATTTTGAGATTTCTCAAAAATGAATTTTAGTTCAAATCAGCATAATTCAGCACAATATTTGTTGTTTGAAAATTTTAACTTTAATGGAAATTAAAAAATAAATTATGTAAAATCTCTTTTACGGTCCACGGTTGGCCTGAACTAAATTTTATTCAAACTTTCAGTAACTCTAAATTTTTTTGTTGATTCTGAATTTATATTTTTTTAGCATTATTTTAATACAAAAAAGAAAAAATTCGGCGGAGGGCTTTTTGAAATATACCATTTTAAAAAAAAAAATTTTTTTACTAAAAACTAAGTTACAGATTTATTTAAGTTGACTCGTTTTGTTTGTATTTTTTTTAAGCAGTCTAATAAATGTTAAGGTATTTAAAGGATAAGTAGGATTTCATAGCTGCAAAAGGTTTTTAATTTGACAAACAATGTACCGTTGACAAAAAAATATTTTATCGAACTAAATATTTGAAATATAATTTGTAATAAATCTGTAATAAAAATTACAATATTTTTTATACACATTTTAAAGATTTATAAATGAAGTTAAATTTTAAAAATGTTTATGCAAAATATATAAACATGTAGCTTCAGATGTGCGAACTATTATACTGACACACTGCACATCTGAAGCTACATGTTTATATATTTTGCATAAACATTTTTAAAATTTAACTTCATTTATAAATCGTTAAAATGTGTATAAAAAATATTGTAATTTTTATTACAGATTTATTACAAATTATATTTCAAATATTTAGTTCGATAAAATATTTTTTTGTCAACGGTACATTGTTTGTCAAATTAAAAACCTTTTGCAGCTATGAAATCCTACTTATCCTTTAAATACCTTAACATTTATTAGACTGCTTAAAAAAATACAAACAAAACGAGTCAACTCAAATAAATCTGTAACTTAGTTTTTAGTAAAAAAATTTTTTTTTTAAAATGGTATATTTCAAAAAGCCCTCCGCCGATTTTTTTCTTTTTTGTCTTAAAATAATGCTAAAAAAATATAAATTCAGAATCAACAAAAAAATTTAGAGTTACTGAAAGTTTGAATAAAATTTAGTTCAGGCCAACCGTGGGTCCAAGATGTCTTGAATTGAATGTGGCCCTAGCCGTGTGTAAAAATCGCAACTTTTGTAAAATAATTTAACACTTTTTCAATTTATGTACGATTATAAAATAAATTGAAGTTTTTTAAATTTAATTAAATTCAAATTCGATAAAATATGAGTTTTACAACGTTGAAAATACGTATAGTTAATTTTCATGAAATCTTTCTGATAAACTGAATCAACAATAATAATTAAAAATATATATACCAAAATTTTTTTTTAATTTCAGAGCTAAATAAATATATCGATTCGTAAAAAAAATAAAATAATAAAAATTTTTTATTTGGCAAAAGAAAAATAAACATATTAGTAAAATAAATTTTATTTGATTATCGCATGAATCTAAATTTCTCCGCTATTCAATCACTATAATGAAAGACTAATATCGTGAAAAATGATCGTAAAATATAATAAAACAATGAATGATCACATTTTAATAAAGGAAAAGTGATTATATTATAACAAACGTATCATTTCGCGACAAAAGATCCTCTAAAGAAAATAAAATGGTGGGAGTGAACTCTCTCTCTCTTAAACCCAGCTGATCGTTAAAGTCTGAACTGGTCAGTCAAACTTTCACGTTCTGCGATATTCGAACTTTATATCAAAAAGAGCGCAAAAATTTTTTTTTTTTCCACCTCAAAAAGTGCACTTCACAAATTCGCGAATATAATTAATTGAATAATTACATACAATTAATCACTCGTGTTAATTCTTATTGTAGACTTTTTAAAAAAAAAAACAAAAATCCTCAATCTTCATGAGAGAAATTTTGCAAAGTATCGAAGAGTACTTTCTCCACTTTGCAGCAAATAATCATAATTTCTTTTCAATAATAAAAGTGAATCTCAGTGGAAGCATTCATTTCTATATATCACCGTCAATATATACATATATATATATCTATGTATGTTTTCAAAACGTTTGAATTCGTTCTTTATGAAAAATAAACATAATTTTTTATTCTTTTTTGAAAATGTGAACTCGAATAATAAAATTGGATTTTTACTGAATTGCTGGTGAGCATATTACTTACGTTAATTAAACATTTAAATATCCTCTTGAAAAATCGCATTTGAGAAATGCTTTTTTTTAATTTAAAATTTATTTTATAAAGCAAATTGATATATTTCAATATTTTCTTTTCGAAGGTTAATTTAATTAACTTCTTTCACATTTATTTACATTTATATATAAATTTATGTATTTTTTTTATTTTTTATGCGACTTTTACATTATACATTGCATTAATTTTTTATTAATAATTAATAATCATAATTATTTATTATACTTTTTATATTTTAAATTATTATTATTTATTATTTTTATTATTATTATTATTATTATTATTATTATTGTTTTAAATATTATTATTATTATATAATTATTTATTAATATTTTGTAATTAATTTTGTGTCTTATTAAAAAATGCAATGTGCTTTTATAAATCTGGGATTTTTCCAATCAAAAATTGTTCGGTTTTTTTTTTTCTTTCTTTTTCAAATAGAGATGTAAAGTCATGTCAATATTCCCAATAAAGTTCTTCAATATTATAAATATATGTGGAATCAAATACATTTTCAATATTCTTCTACATATTTATTTTTTCATTCTGATCAAAGTATTTTTGCTTTTATATAAGTGAACCTATAACGTCAATATAAATATATGTAGGGATATTATTAAAAAAGCATCACAAATAAAAGATGTAAAAAAACATGAATTTAATCTTTAAAAAGAATTGTAATTCAAATATATATTATTTCTCCATAATATTTCTATTTAAACATATATATATATATATATATATTTAGAATTATATGATTATTTTTTTATCTGCTTATTTGAGAATAATAATTATACTTCCACTCTAATATTATTTTCACAGAAAATTAAAAGGTATTAAAATAAGCTGCAACGCTGATTATTTTAATCCAATTTTGTTTATTTTAATACCAAAATAAATTAAAATAAGCAAAATTGGATTAAAATAATAAGCGTTGCAGCTTATTTTAATGCCTTTTAATTTTCTGTGTTGTTCAATATAAAAGAATTTAAATTTAAATTTAAATTCTTTAACAAATAAATTATTGAATATATGTTTTTTTTAGTTAAAACTTTATTTCTACAATAATAATTCTTATAATTATTATTTAAAAAAATAATGCATTTTAAATACCTAGTTAATAATAATAATAATAATAATAATAATAATAATAATATCATTATTTTTTTAATTTAATTAATAAAGTAAAAATTATTGATAATCGCAAATAATAATTAAAAAATAATTAACTAATTAAATGTAAAATAAATATTAAAAATTAATTAATAACAATATAACATAAAAATATAACAATAAATAATAATAATAATAATAATAATAATAATAATAATAATAATAATAATAATAATAATAATAATGATAAAAATTAAATTATGATTATTATTTATTTTTCACTACATCAGAATTAAAATCTAATTTAAAAAAGTACCAAAAAAAGTAAGAAACATTTTGATAGATTGTTAATATTTTCAAATTTTTTATTTTTTTTCTGCAAATTTTTAATATATATATTGTAAAGAACCTTTATCATAAAAAAAAGTCACGTAAATAATTTATTTTGGAAAATTGACAAGAGCTTGTTGATGTATATTAAAAGAAAAGTGAATAAACAATTAATTAAATTTTTAATTAAATAATTCGTTAGTATGTGTACTATATATTTCATTTCGTTCTTTAACCAGTATTGTTTAAAAAAAAAAATTAAAAATAAGATTTTTTTCAAAATTTTTTAATAATTTTATTTTTTCAGAATTTCAATATATATTTTTTTAAATCTTGGTTAAAAGAACAATATAGTTTATTAAGTGTTTATAATGTCTATATAAAAATAATATTAATGTTACATTAAATGTTTCATGTCTCATTGATATCGTTATTTCGTTTAGCCTGTTATATGAACCGAAAAAATTAGACCTCACTTTAGTAAAAGTTACTTATCCAGAACTCGTATTTGTATATATATACTACATGTAAATACAAGAATAACTGGTAACGCAATATTAAAATTTTTTTTATAAACATTTATATATTGATTACAAAAAATCGATCGGGGTAATTTTACCCATAAAATGATATTTTTTTATTTAACACATTTTTAAAATTCAAAATAAAAAAAAAACAAAAATTTCAACTACTCAGCGTTATGATGTCAACGTACTTTTGAAGAGTTCCCATAAGTTGGACGAGAAAAAAAAAATTTTTGCCGGAGTTACAGAAATTTAAATTACTTAATATATTATCCCCGTGGTTGGGGCAATTATACTCAACAAAAGTATATTAAAAATTAATTTAAAAGATGCACTACTCTCTAAATCTGAATTAGTAAAAATGTTTACTAATTTAAATTAGTGACTCACTTTTTGCTTTAGAATTAGTTAAATTTTACTAATTGTTAGTAAAAGTTACTATTATAATTAGTAAAATTTTACTAATTGAGAAGCAAAAAGTGAGTCACTAATTCAAATTAGTAAACTTTTTTACTAATTCAGATTTAGAGAGTATAATTACTGCAACAAAAATTTTCCAAAAATAATTAACTTTAAAAACTGAGTATAATTACCCCGAAAAAAAATTTATTGGTTTGCATAATTGTTTTATTACTTTAACTAATTAGTTTGTTGGAATAACTATTTAATTAGTTACCTTACTAACGAAATGATTAGGCTGATTATAACTAAATGCTAACAGTATATAACTAACACCGTCCGACAAAATTCAATTTTTTTTTTTTGACCCACAAAAAAATCCAACATTTTCAGAAACTAGGACCAAAAAAAATTACCCGTATCTGGCCGTTTTGTTAGATCAAGTCGTTTGTGGTTTTTAGAGGTAAAAACAACCCCTAAATAAAAAGTGACAAGATTTCTTTTTAAAATTATTAATTTTTTATAAAACTTGGTATCAGGGGGTTTTCGGGGTCGATAATTATTAATCTGATATCAGATTTTCAAAATTCAAAATGGCGGATCCAATATGGCGGTCAAAATTTTAAGAAGTTATTAATTTTTTATAAAATTTGGTATCTAGGGGTTTTTAGGGTCGCTGATGTTGAATCTGATGTTAAATTTTCAAAATTCAAAATGTCGGATATAAAATAAAAAATTAATAACTTTTTAAAAATTTGATTGCCATATTGGATACGCCATTTTAAACTTTGAAAATCTGACATCAGATTAATAACACAGCCCCACAAAAAAAAAGTGTCGTGCGCGGCAGACCAGACTAGTCATTTCCCATGTATTTTGACGCGCTGAACACGAATCCGAAGTCCGTTTTGCTCCATCACGTCAGGATTTTTTTCTAACCTCCAAAAACCTGTCGGATTTTGAGAGGTGGGCTATTTTTTTAAAAAATTGATGGATTTACTTCAAAATTGGTATCTAAGGGTTTTTTGGGTCGCTGATGACGAATTTGAAGTTAGATTTTCAAAATTCAAAATGGCGGCTCCAATATGGCGGACAAATTTTGTAAAAATTGATGGATTTACTTCAAACTTGATATCTACGGGTTTTTTGGGTCGCTGATTACGAATCTGAAGTTAGATTTTCAAAATTTAAAATGGCGGCTCCAATATGGCGGACGAATTTTGTAAAAATTGATGGATTTACTTCAAACTTGGTATCTTGGGGTTTTTTGGGTCGCTGATTACGAATCTAAAGTTAGATTTTCAAAACTAGAAATGGAAATTCTTATATACATAAGTAAGGTATTTACGTCTTTTTATGGTAGCGCACTCTTTTGTCCTCAAAGGATCTGTGTAATGGTTTTCTTTTCAAATTGGTGCCTCCAGGTACAATATCCCTTTTCAGCATCCAACAGTAGTTGGCCATCATATTTACATCCCATCTTCCTTGATAACGACGCTCAAAATCTTTCAGATCTTGATTGAATCGTTCTCCTTGTTCTTCACTGTAATCTCTCAAATTTTCAGGGAATTGATCCCGATGCGAGTCTAAGTAATGCAACTTTATGCTCATTAAGCATCCTAACTTACCAAAGTTTTTAATCATATCACTAACTATTTGCTCCCAATTTTCACTCTTGTGATTACCCAAAAATTTTCGACAACATCTTTGAAACTAAGCCATGCGGCTTTCTCCTTTTTATTCATCTTGGTGATAAATTGCTCATCTTTTAACAATTTGCGAATACGTGGTCCGTCGAAAACCCCTTCTTTTAGTTTCGCATCAGAGATTTCTGGAAACTTTTGTTACAGGTATTTGAAACAGTTTCCTTTTTTATCTAAGGCTTTGACAAACTGTTTAATTGCTCCTAGTTTCGTGTGTAAGGGCGGAATTATCACCTTTGAAGGGTCGATATCGTCCGCCATATTGAAGCCGCCATTTTAAATTTTGAAAATCTAACTTTAGATTCGTAATCAGCGACCCAAAAAACCCCTAGATACCAAGTTTGAAGTAAATCCATCAATTTTTACAAAATTCGTCCGCCATATTGGAGCCGCCATTTTGAATTTTGAAAATCTTAATTCAAATTCTTCATCAGCGACCCAAAAAACCCCTAGATACCAATTTTGAAGTAAATCCATCAATTTTTTAAAAAAATAGCCTACCTCTCAAAATCCGACAGGTTTTTGGAGGTTAGAAAAAAATCCTGACGTGATGGAGCAAAACGGACTTCGGATTCGTGTTCAGCGCGTCAAAATACATGGGAAATGACTAGTCTGGTCTGCCGCGCACGACACTTTTTTTTTTTGTGGGGCTGTGTAATCAGTGACCCCGAAAACCCCCGGATACCAAGTTTTATAAAATATTAATAATTTTGAAAAGATATCTTTTCATTTAGGGGTTGTTTTCACCTCTAAAAACTACAAACGACTTGATTTAGTAAAACGACCAGACACGGGTATTTTTTTTTTGGGTCCTAGTTTCCGAAAATGTTGGATTTTTTTGTGGGTCAAAAATCGTGACGCACGGTGTAATATAAATAAGGAAA